GCAGCGAGACCTCATCTCTACAGTAAATCAAAAAATCAGCTGGGCGTGGTAACGCATGCCTGTAATTCCGGCTACTTGGAAGGCTGAGGTGGAAGGATTGCCGGAGCCCAGCAGGCGAGGCTGCGGTGGCCGGGAGTGGCCACTGCACTCCAGTCTGGGCGACAGAGTGAGACTCCAAAACAAACAAACAAACAAACAAACAAACAATAGTGGGATTTAATAAAAATTTAATTTCTACTGCCAAGTGACAAATTTTTATTTTTTAAAATTTTTATTGGCTGGGCAGGGTGGCTCATGCCTGTTATCCCAACACTTTGGGAGGTGGAGGCGAGAGGATTGTCTGAGCCTAGGAGTTCAAGACCAGCCTGGGCAACAATGGCGAGATCTCGCCTATAAAATAAATTTAAAAATTAGCTGGGCGTGGTGGCGCACACCTGTAGTTCCAGCTACTTGGAAGGCTGAGGTAGAAGGATAGCTTGAGCCCAGCAGGTTGAGGCTACAGTGGCCATGAGCAACGTGCCACTGCACTCCAGTTTGAGCGACAAAATGAGACTCCAACTTGAAAAAAATTTTATTTTATTTTTTTCTGACTTTTAAACTTCTAGATTACAAAATACTATTTGATACTCATAAAATATCTTCAGTGAAGTACAGAAGTACTTTACAGCACTGCTTAGAAGGAAAGAAAAAATAGCCCCAGATCTTGAATATAAACTCATATTCATAGAGTTTTATTGTTCTCTACTTAGAGTTTTAGAAACACTTTTATACTCTGTATAAAAAATAGGAGCCGGGCTTGGTGGCTCAGCCTGTAATCCCGCGCCTTTGGGAGGCTGAGGTGAGTGGATTGTCTGAGCCCGCGGGTTCGAGACCCACCTGGGCAGCGAGACCTCATCTCTACAATAAATCAAAAAATCAGCCGGGCGTGGTAGCGCATGCCTGTAATTCCGGCTACTTGGAAGGCTGAGGCGGAAGGATCGCTGGAGCCCAGTAGGTCGAGGCTGCGGTGGCCGGGAGCGGCCACTGCACTCCAGTCTGGGCGACAGAGTGAGACTCCAACTCAAAAAAAAAAAAAAAAAAAAAAAAAAACAATTGGTGTTTTTAGCTGGGCATGGTAGCACACGCCTGTAGTTGCAGCTACTTGGAAGGCTGAGGCAGAAGGATCACTGGAGCCTAGCAATACTGGGGTAGCATGAGCATGCCACTGTACTCCAGCAAGAGCGATGAAATTAGACTCCAACTCAAAAAAAAAAAAAAATTGGTATTTTTGGCCAGGCCCAGTAGCTTACACCTATAATTCCAGCACTTTTGGGGGCTAGGGGCAGAGGGATTGTTTGAGCCCAGGAGTTCAAGACCCACGTGACAACAAAGTGAGATCTTGTCTCTACAAAAAATACAGAAATCAGTCAGACATGGTGTATGCATCTGTGGTCTGTAGGCTAAGGTGGAAAGATCCCTTGAGCCCAGGAGTTTTAGGATATAGTGAGCTATGATTGTGCCACTGCATTGTAGCCTGGGTGACAGAGTGAGACCTCGACTCAGAAAAAAAAAAAAAAAAAGTATTTTTATTTATTTATTAATTATTATTATTTTTTTTTAGTTGGAGTCTCACTGTCACCCAGACTGGAGTGCAGTGGCCGCTTCCGGCCACCGCAGCCTTGACCTGCTGGGCTCCGGCGATCCTTCCACCTCAGCCTTTCAAGTAGCTGTAACTACAGGCACGCACTACCACGCCCGGCTCATTTTGATTTATTGTAGAGATGAGGTCTCGCCAAGTTGCCCAGGCGGGTCTCAAACTCGCGGGCTCAGGCAATCCACTCACCTCAGCCTCCCAAAGGTGCGGGATTATAGGCTGAGCCACCTAGCTCAGCTAAGAGTATTTTATTTAAAGAGAACTGTTCTTTGAAGTTAGATGTGCCAGTGTTTAACACATTTATTTCCAAAGCATACAATCTAGAGAAAACACAAAACTGTACTTTACTTACTGCTCCTTCAGAGATACATATGGCTTTGATGGTTCCTTGGGGCTTACTAAGAGCACCTTGAAGAAATTCAATCTGTGTGTTTCTAAATGCATCACTGATATCTATAATCTGGAAAATGGGTAACAAAAAGGGGTAACTAACTATGAAGTAACATTTATCTGTAAACATTTTATAAACAAGATTTTAAAGAAGAGATAATTTAATACTTATTGAGTGCCTTCAAAGAGTGTTTACCACAGGTTGAGCACTATGACAAGTGTTTTACATATATTCATTCATTTCTTTTTTTTTTTTTTTGAGTCAGAGTCTCACTCTGTCACCCAGGCTGGACTGCAGTGGTATGCTCATGGCCACTGCAGCCTCGACCTGCTGGGCTCAGGTGATCCTTCTGCCTCAACCTTCCCCACAGGCATGTGTCACCATGCCTGGCTCATTTTTTGATTTACTGTAGAGATGAGGTCTTGTTAAGTTGCTCAGGCTGGTCTCAAACCCCTGAACTCAGGTAATTCTCTCACCTCTGTCTCCCAAAGTATTGGGATTACAGGCATGAAACACTATGTCCGGCTGAGGTAGGCACTCTTATTATCCTCATTTCACAGATGAGAAAACCGAGACATAGAGAAGGAAGTAACTTGCTCAAGATGGCAGAGCTAGTAAATGGCAGAGCCACAATTTAATCCAAGCAGTCTGACTAGAACCACTGTTGCATATTACAAATGAAGAAACAAGGAGGAGCTGGCTATAAGGAGGCAGTTATGACCTTTTTTGTCATAGTTATGACTTTTAGAGTATTGTATTTTTTCATTCTAAGAATTTAACACTATTCATAGAGCACACAGGACTCAATTTCTAATGAGTGTGCACTGATAACTGAGAAACAGAAATGCTACCAGCATTATAGAGATCAAGGAATATTGCTCTCTAAGAGCACTGCTCTATATAAATTCTACCGTTGCTCTTAAATACTTATAGACAATAATTTGAATAAACATTTTCACGTTTGAGCTCTCTAATATAGACCAGGAAAACAAATAATTCAATCATTGGCCTTCCAAGTGCCATTCTAGCTTTAAAAATTTTTTAAAGGAAAGAATAGTTTTTTCTTTCAGGTTACCATTCACGATCCTATAATCAATAACTTGTAAGTAATAAAAACTTTATAGCAAGGACCTTGCTCTTTTAAATGGGTCTTGGAACACAGTAGACAGAAAAAAGCACTGAAATGCTTATGTGCTATTATTCTCTCTTGCTGTAGCTCAATAACAACAAAGGTAACAAGCTGAGGTAACAACAAAAATATAATCTAACAGTGTGTAATGCTTGTCAGCTTCAAAGTGGCTTAAAGGTTGCAGGACTACTTAATGGCAGAATCCTGGAGAAGTGAAGAGGAAATACCTTCATTCCAAAGCGAGTGTCAGGTTTGTCGGTTCCATAGGTGGCCAATGCCTCAGCAAAAGTCATAGAAGGAAAAGGAATCACTAAAGGATCTTTGTCATCAGGCCAGGAATACTGTAGCAAACCCTCAATTAAACTTTGGACTCCAGCCTGGTCTACAAAAGACATCTCTATGTCAACCTGAAACCAAAATAACATATGGAAACTAACTTAAACAGTCACAATACCTGTATGTATTTATACATTTCTCTGCATTCAAGCTATAGGATTCTACACATAAAAACTTAATACACAGGGAGGGTATAAATCTTTTTTTTTTTTTTAATCACAGCCTCAACCTGCTGAGCTCAGACCAACTTCCGCCTCATTCTTCCAAGTAGCTGGAACTACAGATGTGTGTTACCACACCTGGCTATTTTTGATTTATTGTAGAGACGAGGTCTTGCCAAGTTGCCCAGGCTGGTCTCAAACCCCTGGACTCAGGCAATCCTCTCGCCTCAGCCTCCCAAAGTGCTGGGATTACAGGTTGAGCCATGCGTCCAACCAGGGTATAAGTCTTATTATAAATCTCTTCTGTGTCAGGCACTGTGCTAATGTCTTATATACAGCAATTTGTTTAGTTCCCACAATGATCCCATCACTGAAGGCTCAGAGGCTAAACAACTTGCTTGTATATGTGCAATTAGCAAGGAGTGAAACTACATTTGACTCCAGGTCTGTCCAACTTCAAAGCTTATGATTTTTTTCACTTCACATTGTTTAATATGCTATCATACAGAAACCAAATCATAATAGCTTTGAAATGTTCACAGATTAGTTAGATTAAATCTCAATATGCAAAATTATTGGTCTTAATATGAGAGATTTGTATTACAATTAGTATCAAGAACACTAAAACACTTCAGGAGTCTCTGGTATTCCTCAGCTGCTGACCACATTCCTCATGAAAAGGACATATGCTGCACTTTGGTAGCACACACACTAAAATTAGGATGACACAGCGAAGATTAGCATGGCTGTTGTGCAAGGAAAGAAAAGAGAAAAAAGGAGAAAAGGACACACAACACAAATAAAAAATGGAATAATTAGTGCCTCAACTGCAGGGGAGTTTAAAGTATATAAAATTACTGCCTGGTCTTGAAAATACTTGGCTGTAGTTAATTAAGTCTGAAGTTGAGACAAGTGAATATAACTTAGTACCTGAGTAAACTCAGGCTGTCTGTCTGGTCTTGAGCCTTCATCTCGATAACACCGGGCAACCTGAAAATACCTACAATGAGAAACAGCATTCATTGAGTCATGATTCTAGGAAGACATATATATTTCTCCCCAGAAGTTTATGGCAATGCAGGCTATGAAATAAATTAATAATGATACCTAGAAAACATTTTTATTCTTTTTTTTTGAGTTGGAGTCTCACTCTATCACCCAGACTGGAGTGCAGTGGCATGCTCCTGGCCACTGCAGTCTCAACCTGCTGGGCTCTGGCCATCCTTCTGTCTCAGCCTTCCAAGAAGCTGGAACTACAGGCGTGTGCTACCACGCCCGGCTAATTTTTCTGATTTATTGTAGAGATGAGGTCTCGCCAAGTTGCCCGGCGGGTCTCTAACCCGGGGGCTCAGGCAATCCGCTCACCTCAGCCTCCCAAAGCGCGGGATTAAGGCTGAGCCACCAAGCCCAGCTTGATATGGCATTTTCAACCTTTTTGTAGGAGAAGGGAGGAGGAGGCTGGGAATACCTATGCAGTAGGCCTCAAACATCATCTACAGAGGATAAGTTTTCAGAGATCAGTAACTGCATATTTCTATTTGTTGTCTGTGAACTTTTGTAATAAAACCAAAGTATGAAGTATATGAAAACAGTAATAGAAGTAAATATATACAAATAGTACTTTAAGAAATATTACCCATAATTCCATTCTCATTAAAATGATTTCTTTCTTGGGTACTGTCTTCCACTCACTGTCCATAATCCATATCCATGAATACTTTTACCTATTTATAGTCTAATTTTGTATTTTTTCCACTTATTATATCATAATTATCTTCCTATTGTTCTACTTATTGTCCCTACTTATAATCTTTTATAATTTAAAAACAATTTTTCATTAAGTTTTTATTTATTTATTTTTTTGAGTTGGAGTCTCACTCTGTTGCCCGGACTGGAGTGCAGTGGCCGCTCTCGGCAACTGCAGCCTCGACCTGCTGGGCTCCGGTGATCCTTCCACCTCAGCCTTCTAAGTAGCTGGAACTACAGACGCGCGCTACCACACCCAGCTAATTTTTTGATTTATTGTAGAGATGAGGTCTCGCCAAGTTGCCCAGGCAGGTCTCGAACCCGCGGGCTCAGGCAATCCACTAACCTCAGTCTCCCAAGGCGCGGGATTACAGGCTGAGCCACCAAGCCCGGCTTAAGTTTTTTTTGAGTCGGAGTCTCACTCTGTTACCCAGGCTGGAGTGCAGTGGCATGCTCACAGACACCACAGCCTTGACCTGCTGGGCTTGGGTGACCCTTCTGTCTCAGCCTTCCAAGTAGCTAGAACTACAGGCATGTGTCAACATGCCCAGATAATTTTTCTTGATTTATTGTAGAGATGAGGTCTCACCAAGTTGTCCAGGCTGGAAGATTTTCTTTTTTTTAAATTTTAAATATGTAGGGTGCAAGTATACAAATGTTCATTATGCAGGTACCCATTTAGTTTATTAAACTTTTTTTTTGTTTATTTATGCTTCTTTATATATACTTTTGCTTTGGCCAAACTGAAATACTTACAGCTCCTTGAATATACTTGAGCCCTCCTGTGCTATGCCATTCCAATTCTCATCTTTACCTGCAGAAATGTAGCACTGTCCCAAAAGATCTAGCTCACAAGGTTTTCTATATTTCTCCAAACGATATAATCTCAAACCTCTTAATACCTAGTTTGCAGATTTCAATTATTTTGGATTACATCACAGTTAGTCTTCTTCATTATCCTATTCTGCCTTACTTGTCTCATTAACACCTTGAGAGCAGAATTTTAAAATACCGTCATATCTATTAGCATACAGTTTTGTATATTAATGGCTGCCCAATAAATCTTTACTAATGGTAACTACAAATTGTGAGTATTTTATAAGTATTCTCCAAACTCTTGTAAATTTTCTAAACTTATCTTAAGCAATCAATTTTGTGTTTCCTTTTTCCCTTTTTTTCCCTTTTTCCTTTTCTGACAACTACTAGCATAAGAAAAACTCACCTGTCTAAACCACCAACCATCAGAAGCTGCTTAAATTGTTGAGGACTCTGAGGGAGAGAATAAAACTTTCCAGGATCCCTAGTTGGTACTAAAAATTCTTTGGCACCCTTTCAAAGATAAAGAAGAGAGAGATTATTAAAACAAAACAAAACAAAAAACCCAAGGTATAATTGACCGGTGGAAGTTGATACTTCAGTTTATCAATGAATAAAGAGCTAAGTTCCCATAATGACAGAGATAATTTCTTCCTCATCCTTTAGTCCCTAAGAAGATTTGTACATAATAAGTAAATACCACTTGCATGAGGAGAGACCCAAAAAAACAAGAATTTATAAAAAATTGTGTATTTCTCCTTCTTTTTTCTCTTTTCACTTCTTTCTTCTTTTTACTCTCGCTCAGGCTGGAGGGCAGCGGCTTGCTCATGGTCACTGCAGCCTTGACCTGCTGGGCTCAGGTGATCTGTTCACCTCAGCCTTCCAAGTAGCTGGAAGCACAGGCATGCGTCGTAACGCCCAGTTAATTTTTCTTGATTTATTGTAGAGATGAAGTCTTGCCAACTTGCCCAGGTTGGTCTCGAACCCATGGGCTCAGACAATCCTCTCACCTAGGCCTCCCCAAGTACTGGGATTATAGGCGTGAGCCACTGTGCCCAGCCTTGCTGCTGTTTTTGTTTGTCTCCTCCACGTCAGCAAAACTGCTTCCCTCTGAGGACTGTTTTCATTGGGGAAATAAGCAAACAAAACATAGCTGGGCAAGATTGGGGGAATAGGGAGGGTGGGGCATGGGGGTCATGCCATTGTTGGTCAAAAGCTGCTGAACACTCAGTGCGGTGTGGGCAGGTGTGTTGTCATGATGGAAGAACCAGTTACCAGCCAGGCAAGAGTGAGACTCCAACTCAAAAAAAAAAATAACCAGTCACCCATCTGCCACAGAAAAATTCACTGAAGCCAAATGCAGCCTCTCACAACAACAGTAGCTGCCACACTGATGCCGATGGGTTTCTGGAACCTTACCTAAGCAGGGGACGCCTGCACCACAAGGGGCCACCCCTGTAAATTATAACTCTGTTTTTTTTGGGGTTCCCCTTGTATATAGTAGGTATTATACAGGGGGTGCCAAAAAATTTATACACATTTTATGGAAGAAAAAAACTATTAAAACTGGAATACTTAATATATATCAATAACAAAAGATGCATACAAGTCATTTGACTTCTGCAATTACAAGAGGTGCTCAGCGTCCAGACAATTCTGATTATGGTGAACTAAAAGTAATACATATAGCTGGGCATGGTGGCTCGTGCCTATAATCTCAGCACTTTGGGAGGCTGAGGAGAGCACTGCCTGAGTCCAGGGGTTCAAGACTAGCCTGGGAAACTTGGTGAGACCGCATCCCTACACTAAATCAAAAAATTAGCTGGGTGTGGTGGTGCATGCCCGTAGTTCCAGCTACTTGGAAGGCTGAGGCAGAATGATTGCCTGAGTTCAGTAGGTCGAGGCTGCGGTGACTGCGAGTGTCACTGCACTCCAGCTGGGAGACAAAGTGAGACTCCAACTCAAAAAAAAAAAAAAGGAAAACATAGATAATGTGTCTTAAAATGTGTATACATTTTTTTTTTGGTATCCCCGATATTTATGCTTGTAGAAATAAACGTCCAATTCTGTTACTAGCTGGATAAATTTTATGTATCATTTTCTATTCAAGTAATTCCTAACTGCATTTCTAACTTAAATTACAGTTTTATAATTCCACAGATTGGATAAATAGATTAAATATCAAGTTTTAGAAATGTCATTTTTTAATGAACAAGAGATTTGCTGTTAAGGAACCAATTTATTAATGATTTGCATCTATAAACCTCAAGGGAAAGAAAATTCTTATGGAATGGAAGAATTCTGACTCAAAAGTACTGACCCAAATATTTTCTCAATTCTTGAGAAAACCTAGTTAATATGATCACCTTGAGGCAGAAAATAAAATAAAAATCAACTAGGTGAATATAAAAGCAACATTGTCCAGTTTCATAGTTAATAAGACATTATTAGTAGACTGAAGGAACATGCATACCCCTGGGGTCCTCTTAAACAATGTTGGGGTTTCTATATCCACAAACCCTAAAAAGAGAGAACATTATAATTTAGTAGATAGGAATGTGAAATCTGTCAAAGGAATATGAAATTTTCAAATATGATGTCCGTAATTCAGTAAAACAAATCTGAGGCTCCCCTTTAATGAGGAATTTTGGCAGAAATAAACTATCAAGTCTACTGATGCAGGTTTCTATAAATCCAATAAGAAAGTTGAAGACATTCACAAAACCTTGCTCTGTTCATAAAGTTGACACTTTTTTTTTTTTTTTTGAGTCAGGGTCTCATTCTGTCATTCAGGTTGGAGTACAGTGGCATAATCACACAGCTCAGAGCCTTGACCTCCTGGGCTCAGGTGACCTTCCCCATCAGCCTCTCCAAGTGCTGGTATTACAGGTGTGAGCCATTGACTGTGGCCAAGTTGATAATTCTGACATGAAATAATTCTAAATATTTAATGGATTACTGTCTACTGAACAGTTCCAGATTTTTTTTTTTTTTTTTTGAGTTGGAGTCTCACTCGATAGCCCAGACTGGAGTGCAGTGGCCGCTCCCGGCCACCGCAGCCTCGACCTGCTGGGCTCCGGCGATCCTTCCGCCTCAGCCTTCCGAGTAGCCAGAATTACAGGCATGCGCTACCACGCCTGGCTGATTTTTTTATTTATTGTAGAGATGAGGTCTCGCTGCCCAGGCGGGTCTCGAACCCGCGGGCTCAGGCAATCCACTCACCTCAGCCTCCCAAAGGCGCGGGATTACAAGCTGAGCCATCGAGCCCAGCTCAGATTTTCAAATGTCCTGGCTGGGTGCAAAGGCTCATGCCTGCAATCCCAGCACTTTGGGAGGCAGAGGCAAGAGGACCGCCTGAGTCCATGGGTTCAAGATCAGCCTGGGCAACATGGGGAGACCTCATCTTTATGATAAATCAAAAAATTAGCTGGGCATGGTGGTATGTGCCTGTAGTTCCAGCTACTTGAAAGGCTAAAGCAGAAGGATCACCCGAGCCCAGCAGGCTGAGGCTATGGTGGCTGTGTGTGTGCCACTGTACTCCAGCCTGGATAATGGAGTGAGACTATGACTCAAAAACAAAACAAAATAAATAAATGTTATGACAGTATAGCAAAAGTAACACAAAAACAGCTGGAAAGTCCAGGCTCAGTGGCTCAGCCTGTAATCCCAGCACTTTGGGAGGCCGAGGCGAGTGGATTGCCTGAGCCTGTGGGTTCCAGACCAGCCTGGACAACTTGGCGAGACCTTGTCTCTACAATAAATAAAAAATTAGCTGGGCATGGTAGCATGTGCCTGTAGTTCAAGCTACTTGGAAGGCTGAGGTGGAAGGATCTCCTGAGCCCAGCAGGTTGATGCTGGGGTGGCCATGAGTGTGCCATTGCACTCTAGCCTGAGCAACAGAGTGAGACTCCAACTCAAAAAAAAAAAAAATAGCTGGAAAAATTCAGGACTGATTGGGGTGTCTAGTTTAATTCACATGACATTTCTGAGCTCCCAACAAATGACGTAAAAGCAGGATAAAGAATTAAGAGTGATAGGAGTGGTGGCTCACACCTTTATTTCCAGCACTTTGGGAGGTGGAGGTGAGAGGATGGCTTAAGCTCAGGGGTTCGAGACCAGCCTGAGCAACATGGCGAGACCTCGTCTCTATAATAAATAAATAAATTAGCCAGGTGTGGTGGCACATACCTGTAGTTCCAGCTACTTGGAAGACTGAAGCAGAAGGATTGCCTGAGCTCAGCAGGTCGAGGTTGCAGTGGCCATGAGTGTGCAACTGCACTCCAGCCTGGGTAAGAGTGAGACTCTCACACACACAAAAAAAAAAAAAATAAAAGCCAGGCTCGCTGGCTAAGCCTGCAATCCCAGCACTTTGGGAGGCTGAGGTGAATGGATTGCCTGAGCCCATGGGTTCGAGACCTATCTGGGTAACTTGGCGAGACCTCATCTCTACAAGAAATAAAAAAAAATTTAGCCAGGCGTGGTAGCGTACGCCTGTAGTTCCAGCTACTTGGAAGGCTGAGCCAAAGGATCACCGGAGCCCAGCAGGTCGAGGCTGTGTTGTCCAGGAGCGTGCCACTGCACTCCAGTCTGGGTGACAGAGTGAGACTTGGACTCAAAAAAATAAATAAATAAAAGAGGTTGGGCACAGTGGCTCATGCCTGTAATCCTAGCACTTCAGGAGGCCAAGGCAGGAGGATTGCTTGAGCCCAGCCTAGGCAACATAGTGAGACCTTATTTCTACAAAAATAAAAAAATTAGCCAGGCATGGTGATGTGTGCCTATAGTTCTAGCTACTTCGGAGGTTGAGGCAGAAGGATCACCTGAACCCAGGAGGTCAACGCTGTGGTGGTGAGATGTGATTGTAACTGAATAACAGAGTGAGATCCCAACGCAAAAAAAAAAAAAAAAAACTTTATAGAAACAACCAGGAGCCGGGCTCGGTGGCTCAGCCTGTAATTCTGCACCTTTGGGAGGCTGAGGTGAGTGGATTGCCTGAGCCCGCAGGTTCGAGACCCACCTGGGTCAGCGAGACCTCATCTCTACAATAAATCAAAAAATCAGCCGGGCGTGGTAGCGCATGCCTGTAATTCTGGCTACTCAGAAGGCTGAGGCGGAAGGATTGCCAGAGCCCAGCAGGTGAGGCTGCGGTGGCCGGGAGCGGCCACTGCACTCCAGTCTGGGTGACCGAGTGAGACTTCAACTCAAAAAAAAAACAAAAAAAAAAACAACCAGGTGGTCCCACCTTCAACAATAATGGGAAATACTACATTAATCAATATAACAGTCACTACCCTCTTTAAAAGAATGTATTTGTGACCCAGTAGGAAACTAGTTACTAAATTATGTACTAGGACAAAACACCCAGAAACTAACCTTTCTTCAAAAACTACATTACACATTGAGCAAATTCCACAATCTGACCCAACTGCTAAATAACACAGGAACATTCAGGGGTGTCACTTACCATGCATGTTACAGAGATACTCCCGCATTCTCATGACCATCTGGGACCGCAGTCGCAGGTTATACTGCATTTGGAAACTACGCAAGTCCAAGTAGCGATACTGCAGACGGAGAGCTTCTGTTTTCTAAACACATTGCAAGATTTCTACGTTTAAGTATCTTTTTGAGTATTAGAGAGGTATCACCGTTACAAGTAGACTGTAGCCCTGTCTTTAGCTTCCACCATCAAGTAGCCCCTGTAAGCCATTTCCATTTGTGTATACATGCTATCATTTACTCCTAACAACTTCTAAATTAGTGATTATGCAGATTTTACATTTTTACTATTATTATTGATATCACCCTTCACTGACTGAAATTTCTCTACTAAATATTTACCCATTAATTTAAGCCCATAGTTGAGTATAGAAAAACAATTTTAAATCTGATGTATTTTAAATAGATACATCAGATAGGTGGGTGTAGTGGTGTGCATGCAGGCAAGGCACACACACACACACACACACACACACACACACACACACACACAAAGATACACCGGACTAAAAAAACAACAGCAAAAAATCACCTGAATGGGATACTGACTTCAACTGTAAGGAATGCAAAGAGACAGCAGATGGAATCTCCATGGTTGTACTAGTGTGAACAGGATGAGGTTTGCTTATTTTCTTTTTTTTTTTTTTTCAGTTGGAGTCTTACTCTGTTGCTCAGGCTGGAGTGCAGTGGCATGCTCATGGACACTGCAGTCTCGGCCTGCTGGGCTCAGGCGATCCTACTTCCTCAGCCTTCCCAGAAGCTGGAACTACAGGTGTATGCTACCATGCCTGGCTTATTTTACGATTTATTGTAGAGACAAGGTCCTACCATGTTGCTCAGGCTGATCTCGAACCCCTGAGCTCAGGTGATCCTCTTGCCTCGGCCTCCCAAAGTGCTGGGATTATAGGCTTGAGCCACCATGACCGGCAGCTTTGCTTATTTTCAAGGCTGTAATTCCTGCATCCCTCTGTGCTGAGACCTTCTTTCTTTGTCTTAGAGACAAGGTCTTCTTCTGTCGCTGAGGTTGGAGTACTATGGTGCCCTCATAACTCATTAGCCTCAAACTCCTTGCCTCAAGCAATCCTCCTGCCTTAGCCTCCCAGGAACCTGGAACCACCACACCTGGCTAGACTTTTTTCTTTTAATTTTTTGTAGAGACAGGTTCTTGTTATGTTGCCCAGCCTGGTCTTGAACTCCTGGCTTCAAGTGATCCTCGTCTCAGAGTCACAAAGTACTAGAATTACAGGCATGAGCCTGTAATTACTGCACTCAGTCCTGTGCTAAGAACTTAAAAAAAAAAAAAAAGGTCAGGTGTGGTGGCTCACATCTATAATCCCAGCACTTTGGGAGACCAAGGTAAGAGGTTTGCCTGAGCCCATGGGTTCAAGACCAGCCCGGGCAACTTGGTGAGACCTCATCTCTACAACAAAGCAAAAAATGAGCTGGGCGTAGTGGCACATGCCTGTAGCTCCAGCTACTTGGAAGGCTGAGGCTGAAGGATCACCTGAGCCCAGTAGGTCAAGGTTGCAGTGGCCATGAGTGTGTCACTGCACTGCAGCCTGGGTGACAGAGTGAGACTCATACTCATGGAAAAAAAAAAGTCCTTTCCCCTGGAATAGCTAATTTCTTTGATACTAGAAATAGAAGTAGTAAGAACTATCTGTAGTTTCTCTTTCTGAATGCGTATCTGGGGAAAACTGTGTTTTCTTTTTCACAATAAGGTCAATTCTGCAATTATATTTGGTTTTGTTTTTGAGTTGGAGTCTCACTCTGTTGCCCAGGCTGCAGTGCGGTGGCATACTCACTGCCACCCCAACATCAACCTGCTGGCCTCCAGCGATTCTTCTGCCTCAGTCTTCCAAGTAGCAGAATGTGTACACAGGCAGAACTACGGGCGCACACTACCTCGCCCGGCTAATTTTTTATTTATTGTAGAGATGAGGTCTTGCCAAGTTGCCTGGGCTGGTCTTGAATCTACTTGCCTTGGCTTCCCAAAGTGCTGGGATTACAGGCTGAGTCACTGAATCCGGCCTTATATTGCTTTCTAATTAAAACATTAAGTGTTGGGAACTTAAACATAAGACTAAGTGGCCATGGAATTAATTTAAAAAGTCCCTTAGTCAGGCACGGTGGCTCACGCCTATAATCCCACCACTTTGGGATGCAGAGGCGAGAGGATTGCCTGAGTCCACGGGTTCAAGACCAGCCTGGGAAACTTGATGAGACCTCATCTCTATAAGTCAAAAAATTAGCCGGGCATGGTAGCACATGCCTGTAGTTCCAGGTACTTGGAAGGCTGAGGCAGAAAGATCACCTGAACCCAGAAGCTCAAGGCTGTGGTGGCTGTGAGTGAGCCACTGCACTCCAGCCTGGGCAACAGAGTGAGACTCCGACACAAAAAAAAAAAAAAAAAAAAAAAAAAAAAAGTCCCTTACTAGATCAGTTTTAAAATTAGGTATGTAGAAGTCTATAACTGTATCAAAACTGAAAATCATCTGGGTGTACTTAATGCTATCTAGTTCCATCAACCCCTCAAACTGTGGCAAAGAATGTCCTAAATTATAGTTGTCCTAGTTATATTTATGTGTGGGAAGTCAAGAGTTGTTCTAAGCACATATTTTATCACTTAACAGGTACAGAATCCTCTATGCCATTTAATCATTTCTAAGCTAGACATAAATTTCCTTCAAAATGTTACAACAGCAAAAGAAAAAACAAACTTGAATAACATATCAAGTCAAAAGACAGAATCACATTTCAACCTGTTTGAAAAAATAGTCTATGTGCTTAGGCAATGCAAAAACTTAATGAACTGTCACTATTTAAGAACAGTTGATCAGCCGGGCTCGGTGGCTCAGCCTGTAATCCTGTGCCTTTGGGAGGCTGAGGTGAGTCGACTGCCTGAGCCCACGGGTTTGAGACCTGCCTGGGCAACTTGGCAAGACCTCATCTCTACAATAAATCAAAAATCAGCCAGGTGTGGT